TGAGCAAGAAACAAATGTACGCTCAAATCTGACATATTTGAATAGAAAATGTGTCTTTAATTGGGACAAATTGAATGATGAATTATATGAAATTACAAAATTAGTTTAATGCGATGAATTATGGTAAAGTTTGGGTTAAATTTTTTTTGTTGGAAGTCAATCCAACTAACAAATATATATTTTATCTCAGATTTTTTAATAGGTCTCTTCTTACTTTTTGAGTGAGATGACTAACTTCATTCTTGTAATGAGGATGTTTTCTATTGACTCATGCCTTAGAGAAGAATGTTCTTTGTTTGAGTTTGAAGTTGTTACCTTGTAAGAGCCACATGGGCTAGAGCCTTCTCTTCTTTTTTTATTTCCATCCATATATTATGTTGAATCACCTGTGAAGTTGATTCCTCTCCCAACAAGAGCAATTCGTAACAATGTTGGTTTTGTAGGCTTTTATGTTAGTGCACTAAGTCCATTGCTTCATCTTTCTAATAAGGCTTAGTTAATACTTAGTTTGTTCTTACTCCTCACTCGATAAAAAAATGTCTTTCTATGGAGGCTAACTCAATAGTTAAGGTGTTGGTTCTAAATTAAAGAAAAATGAAAGGTTCATTTGTTTCATGGATGAGCACCTACCCCTTCTTTAAAGAGCTAGAAAAAAGTCAACCTCTTAAGAAATTGCGTGTTTGCTTCTTTGAAGACAAATGACATACTCTGAATTTTACAGTTGTGATAAGAATTATTACTACAATATTAAGAAGTATGTTGACAATTATCAGTGGCGAATCCTGACTAAAAAATTTCAGGGGAGCCATAAATATTGATCAAGTGATTTAACTAAAATATATATTTTTCAAGCAAAGTCTCAAAATAATATATTAATGCAAAGTAGCAATAAATATACAAAAAATTAAGTGTACCTGCATTCAAAGTGCTACTCTTTGTTCCTTCAAAGACTTGAAGTCATCAATAATTGAATCAGAGTTAAAAGTTTCAGCTATCTCTTTTTTAATATGAATTAACATAGTATCTGCTGGAAATCCATCCTCCATTTTATTTCACAATCTTGTCTTGATTATCTTCATCGTTGAAAATGATCTCTCTGTTGTTGCTGTAAAGACCAGAAGAGTTAAGATAAGCTGAATTACTCGATCAATCAAATAATAGGTATTTGTCTTCCCAGTTTTTGCTAAAGCTTCACATAATTCAGACATAGTTGACAAGTTATTCAAATCTGAATGACTAACAACATCAAGAATAAAATGTTGAAGTTGAAATCTCAAATTAATCTTCTCCTGCTCATTGAAATCCATGGAATAGAACTTGTTTACTAAAGCACATATATCATCCATATTAAATGCTTTATAAACATCCCTAGGAATTAAGCTAGCACTTAGAGTTAGAAGCTCATTGCTTGCTCGTTGAACCTATGATTCAATTCTTGCAATTGCTTGTCAATTGTGACTAAAAAGACATTCACTCTAAATTGATGTTCCACTGTAATGTGATCTTTTTGATGACGAGAGTGCCCTTGACGCCCTATATAAGTTTCATCAAAATTAGGAAGAACAATACCATGTTGTTCACAAAATAATATCACAACTTTCAATAAATGATGCCAGCCATCACCTCTCATCTTTTGAATCAAATCTTTTGTGGTGTGGACTAACTTCATGGCATTAAGAATATCTTGAGACTTTTATTGCAAAGCATGACAAAGACAATCTTTATTTCCCATCATCTCTTTCATCAAGTGTAAAATCAATATGAACTCAAATGAAGTTATGATATTATAAGCAGTATCAACATCCCCACGTTAGGAATAAGTAGATCCATCCACTATAATTTTTTGAAGAACCACACAAGTTGCATCATACATATCTATCATACTACAAATAGAAGAAAAATATAAGTTCCAACGAGTATCTCCAGCTCGTCTCAAAGTTCCAATTTTCTTATTTTAGACAAATAGAAGTTTTATCCACGTAAATGATAAAAAAAAGTGGCGCACCTTTTTGCTGTAACTTATGACTATTTCAGCTTATGACTTGATACTCATAAATAAGCTTAATAACTGAAAGTAAATAATAAAAAAAGAGGCGCACATTTTTTCTGTAGCTGAGGTTGCAATTTACAAACAGTGCACATCTATATCTGGCGGAAGCAAAACTGTGAAAGGAGAAGTTGAGAAGTTTCTTCTTGAATAAGTTTCCTCTCTCTCACTTATGTGTCATTTGCTTTATGTATAAAAAGTTTTTTAACTTTTAAAATTGAAATGATGGGCATGCATATCTATTTGTTACACATTTTATCTATATATATTAATTATTAAAAGATTTACAAGCTTTGGGGAGCCATAGCCCCCTCTCGCTCCCAAGAAGGTCTGTCCCTGACAATTATACTATTCTTGCTTTATATGTTGATTATAGGGTCCAGTGTGACAGAAATTAATAGGTTAAAGTAGTAGTTGGTTGAAGGCTTTGGAATGAAGTATTTTGGTTCAGCTAAACAAATTCTTGGTATGAGAATCTTCAGAACAAAACAGAAGGTGTTTTGAAGTTGTTTTAAGAGAAATATATAAAACAATTGCTTGACAAGTTTAATGTTGAAAATGCCATATGATCAGAAATACCATTTTAGGAACTAACTTAAAGTTTTCAAAGAACCAATCTTCACAAATAGGTGAAGAAAGTTACATGTCAAGAGTACCATATGGATAAGTAATAGAGAGTTTGATGTATACTCTGGTATGTATTAGACTTGACATAATACATGTAGTGAAAGTTGTCCGTAGTTTCTATGAAATCTCAAAAAAGAGCATTGGAAAGGTGTAAAGTAAATATTTGAAGGATATTTTAGAAATGTGTTTGTGCTTTGACAAAAGAAATCTCACTTATAGGAATTCTCTGTTGCGATTTGGAAGGAGATTTAGATGGTAGAAAAAGCACATGTCACATTTTTATCTTAGGTGGTACTTCTATAAGTTGGAGGTCTAAACTTCAAGGTAAAATTGCTCTCTCAATTAATGAAGCTGAGTATCTGGTTATCTAAAAGGCAACCAAGGAGATGTTATAACTAAAGAATTTTCTCAAATAATTGAAAAAAAAAAACAAGATGGTTCTTCATTATTTAGTAATAGTTAGAGTTCTATATGCCTTGTTAAAAGTCCATTTTTTCATTCTAGTGCAAGCATATTAATATGAAGTACCATTTTATTATAGACCTGAAAAATAGTAGAGACTTGTCTTTGTTTAAGATTTCAATATTAGATAATTTAACTAATATGTTGACCAAGACTATCATAATTAATAAGTTGACCAAAACTATCATAAATAATAAGTTGAGGCTTTGCGTTGCCTCAACTAACCTTTGAAGATAATTAATAATGAAAGTGCTACATTAGGTAAAGAGTAGATGAGCTTATTGTTTATAAGAAATTGCTGCGAATTAGACTCCAAAGAGAAGAATTGTTAAAATTGTGTAGTCTAATCAAATCTCACATCACTTATTCTTATGGAACTTTTACTTCATTATTAATATATAAATAACACCTTGTAATATTTTTAAAATATTTAGTGTATAAAATATTTTTCTAATGTAGTACATATATTGTGTGTTCAATCACTTCAAACTATTATGTAGTTCTATCCTTTTTTATTATTCTTTTTCTTTTATTTGATCCAACAAAATCAAGTTAGATATAAAGTAAAATATATTATTAACTAGTTGTCAAGTCTATTTTTACATCGATTTGATCACTCCTTTCTTAAAATTATTGTGTAAAATTAATGTTATATTGTTAATTTGTGTAACATTTATTACATAAAATTATTAATAATTTATGTTGTTTTTAATATTTTTTGTAAGAGATAATTTATTCTTGAAATACAATTAGACACAAATTATAGATATATTTTGAGCAGAAATTTAAATTGTTATTTGTTACTTTATAGCAATCAATTTCATCTCTTTTTAACTATATTAATTTAATTTGGAAGATTCTAAAAGTAAAAGTTAATATGAAATATTAAGCTTAATTACATCTTTAATTCTTTAATTTTAAGGCTTTAAGATTTTTAACTAAAGACTCAAATTAATTAGAATATAAATAATATAGAGAAGATAGCGATGAATCAAACCTTAAGAACTTTATGTCTTTGCTATAGTAAAATTTACATTTTCCGTAATTGTAAGCTATCCATTTTTTAGAGGTTTAATTAAATAAATATTTATTTATTAGTTGGTAATTAATTTCTAATTTTTTTAAAATTTTGTTTAAAAATTTGAAAAGAAATGATAGTTTAAAGGGTAAAGCAAGAGAGAAGAAAAAAAAATAAAGAGTGAATATAAAATTTTCTATACTAAAAAAGATTAAGAAAATTTTTGAGAATTTCATTCTCTTCTTATTCAAAAACTCTTAAAAAAAATAATTATCACATAAATTTTTTTCTTTTCCTAAAAATTAACTTTAACAAAGTCTGGACAATTCTTTATTAACCATACTTGTACTTGGTATGATTTGGTATACTTACCAAATTATTAACTATCTATACACTTGAATGAAATTTAATTTCTTATCAGCATATACTGATTACCAAAAAAGCTTTACGAACTTTATCATGATCAAATGCTTTATGGGTGATATGAAATTCAAATCTTTAAAAAAAATCTCATTTTTCTCGTTAAACCAGCAAGGGAAATTGCAAAAATAAACAAGTTACTATTGTCACCAACGAAATTGCAATGTCTCATCTCATGCGCAAATTCCTGTGACATTGCTTTTTAATTTCCCCTCCAGCTTTTAAATTAAGGGTTTTACTAAGGATCTAAACTCAAGAAATTTTTATTATTTTTAATTAAATATCACCATTATTAATTGCTCAAATGTGCTGAAGTTAACATTTTTCTAAAATCAATAAATAATTGAAGACCAACCAGACTGTAAGGTGTGAGAAATACAATTCCATTTTAAAGTAAATAGCATATTCTAATTCTGCATGACACATTCAAGATGCAAAGAGGTTGTTCCATCTTTCAATCTCTTCCTCCTTATCAAGTTTTCTGATTCCACCGAACCAGCGAAGCCTAGTACCCTGTTCCTCGTACACGTTTCTGTTAAGCATTGATCTTCTCCATCTATGCTCGGGCCGGTATTGCTTGAATTCCACTACCAACATGTCTGCAATAAAATATAAAGATATCTGACATATTACAACGATAAATTGTTGGTACAAAACACAGATACCCCTCTCAGTTAGAATAAGAGTAAAGAACTCAAAAAACACCCTTCATTAGATGCACTTTTCACATTTGTACACTTTTTGGGTGAGTCCCAAATATTGGACCAACTACTTAACATCGACAAATAAACTAACATAACACAATTCTAAATCTGAATTACAGAACAACTCTAACATAAATATCAGATAAGATTCCTCTACAGTACTACTTTCCTTTTTTTTCTTTATAAAATATAGCTTTATTTTTTAATGGTAAGAAAAAATATATCAATATTCAAATGTATTAATTATTTAATTATTTATTGTAAAATTTGTGTTTCATTTTATATATATTTATTTAATATGTAAATAATCTAAAATATAATATAAATTTATGAGACATATAAGTATTCTTTATTCATCTTAATTTGTTTATTTATTATAAAAAAGGACCAGTAGTAATCAAATTATTAAAGTATGGAGGTGAGGTATATCATCTACCATGAATTAAATAAAACTAAGTTTACGAGACACTTAAATTTAAGAAATGATAAATTCACTCTTCTTTTTACACTTCAGAGATCTTCACATCTTACCGCTATATTGGCAATGGCAATGATTCACGTCCTCGTCACATGATTCCAAATGACCAACTACAGCATACCACCAATCTGTAACTCATTCAAAATAGAGGTAAAGAAATTAATTAGAAAGAAGATTAAGTGCTATTTGATTATTTGTTAGGCAATGTTAAATTCTAGAAATAAAGAAACAAATAAGATATGATGTTTGTTTGAAAAGTAACAACATATGCCCTTAATATTAAAATGTACTAAGAGTCTATCACTTTTACCATAAGGGAATTCCTTTCGTCTTCTCATCTGAATTTCAATTTGGTCTCCTGGTTTCAAATCATTCATGCAGTTAGACATATAAAAATCCCTTGCAGAAGTCTCAACTGGTGATACTCTCAACCTTTCCCACTCAACATTTTCCTCAATCATTCGCCACCCTCCAGTTGGAGACCTGTAAAAAATACAAAGCATATATGTGTTTATATCTTTTATCATTTTATGCGTTTAGACTATCCCTTATACCCACTTAAGCTATGTCGAAAACCAATATGATTATTGACTTTGTACTCCAAATTTAATTAACAGAGAAAATACAGAAAAATACCTTGCTCGGAAGGTGTCTGTTCTAGAGTCATAGCTGACAATGGCATCATAACAGAATAGATTTGCAACCTGCTGTAACCATAGTTTCTATATACATGATGTAATCAATATAGTTTAAGCAAGGGATAAAAATGAGAAATGTATATAGATAGTAACAAATTTAACATTAATTACTGTTACCTTGTACACTTGAACAGGAAACCAGAAGTGGCCACTCTCAAGACAGACATACAAAGCCATTTTTGAACAATTTTTAGACAAACTAACAAAGTCAATAAAATTTTCCAAATAAGAATGAAAGCTTAGAAAAGGCCAAACACCACTGAAAGAGCCACATGATCCACTTTGATTCTTCTGTAGCAAGAAGCTTTCTGTGATCATCTTTGTTGTGTGCCATTGCCACTCTTGATGAGCAACATCACCAAGCACCCTACCCCATTTCTGCTGCACTTTTTTCTCCCACAAAGCATCATTACTGCTTCTATACCTCAAAAAGGTACACACTTGTGCCACTCTGCACAAATCCAGAGGTGAGAGGAGCTCAAGTATGCAATCCAAGATCCATTCGGGCAAATCCAAGAGAGAAGAATCTTTGCAATTATCTTGGTTCTCCAATTTTGATACCATGTTCTTCTCATTTGACATTATTATATATGGTTTGTGAAAACCTTAAAGAAACCAAGATTCTTTGGAATGAGTTTTGCAGCTTCCACCTTACAAACGCAAAACTGGAAGAATGGAAGTAACTAAAAGTTATTTGATTAATATAGGTTGTCAAAGTGGCAAGGCAAAGCCTACCCCTGTCTAGATTAATAATTAACATGCTTGTTTAGGAAGCTTTGTAAAAAAATTCAAAAATAATTCAGTGAGGATGTGATTAAATTGTTATAAAAGTCAAATCAATTAAAAAAAGTTATTTAACTGATCTTTTCGTAAAATTACAAAAAAGTTAGTACAGTATATATGTTAATTAATTTGAACATATCATAATTAGAAAGGATTAATATAAGGTTTAAATAATTTTTTAATTTTTATATTTTAAACCCTTTAAATAATTTTCACATTTTTATTTTTTATTATTCACGTAGTTAATTAAGAGATTAGAACATGTAACTTTTTTTTGTTGGATTATATTAATGAGAGACTAAAACAAAAAAATTTATTAAAATATAAAATTTAAAATTATATAAGTATACTTATCTTGACTTTTATTTTAAAGTAATTTTTTAAAACATTTTTTCTTATATAAGATATTTAAAAACATCATTTAAATAAAAATAACAATAGACAGATGAGGTTATAATTTTTAGAGCACAGGACTTGGTCATCATTAATACAGACGGTACACCTTGAATGCACCGTTACGTGTTTTCGATCATTTCTACGCCATTTTTCCATGATTTTATTCATCTGTCATTTGTTGTTAATCTTTAGCATCAAGACACTTAAGTAAGAGCATGGAAAACTAAATAATTAATCTTTTGGTAAGAGCAAAATAGCTTATCTTAACAATTAGATGCCCAACTTGAGCACGGCAGCACGATGTCATTTGTCTTTTGCGATTTTATGTTCTACAGGTGATGTGTATTTTCTATATTAATTTACTAAATAAAGTTCAACATAAAAATAAATAATAAAAATGCACATATTTACTTTTTAAGTTTGTTTTGTTTAACCTCTGAATACAGAAAATGGAGAAATGGTGAAAACTACTGAAAAATAATTTAAGTGCACTTACTGATTGTAAAATATCTCTGTGCAAGTAATATTATTTATTTGCGAGAACTATTTACGGTAAATTGATTTAAACTTTGTTGACCTTGTGAGAAAATTTGAATATCCTGTATTTATGGCATATTACTCTCAAGAAAGAATAAAGTTGGATCCAAGATCTTAAGAAAAAAAATATATTTATAAGTTATGATAATGGTGTTAAGGGGTATCATTTATGGGACTCCAATATCTACAAGATCATTGTTAGTAAAAAAGTAATTTTTTCATAAAATTAATTGTAAAGTAAAGAATTAACAGCACTTCTGAAGAGATTAAGACATTTTTTTGCACCAGAGTACAATGAACAAGGACTAAATGAGACTAATAATACATAATTTTGTTTATCAACACGTCTTATAAGGAAGTGAGCATGACACTTAAACTATATATGTTGGGGCAAGTATCTATGCGTGTTGTATTCTCATGGAAGAGAGAGAGAGTTATCAACCTTTTCAGGTGACCTTAACTAGTTCAGATGTTTCTGTTTGAATGCAAAAGGAAATATAAGTCATACATAAGAACAAGATGTTGTGAACTTCCAAACAGATTAGTTTGCAAGATCAAATAAGATAACAACAGTCAATAGGAACATATTGTGAAAATTAATGGTCAAGGGATATGCAAAAACAAAATGTCTCAATTTCACAGAAATATATATAGCCAACTTATAACATGCAAGTGAAAACAGATTTCAATTTAATATTTCTCAATGACATGCATCTAACTCGTTTTAGAACGGTTCCATATTTAATTTACATTATCTATTTTACATTGTATTTTGTGTCACGTTATGCGAACGTTAAACCAAATAAACTACAAATAATTGTGGCTGTGAAAATACTTTTCATGCAAATAAAAGGCAATAAATTAAGTAATTGAGCAAAAAGTGCTTTAAGAAATTTTCGCTATGGAATAGATACAACAGAGAAGGTTTACCTCTCTAAATAGTGAGTATGCTAGTCACGTTAACTATACGAGCTGAATGAAAATGTGTTTTTCTTTTCGTAGATAGAAAGAAGATCATGTATGAGGAAGCAGATTACCACCTTTAAATAAGACATCATGAAAGCAATATAGTCTGACACCAATGACGAGTTTCTTCCTTCATTTTTTTTCTATGATAATTCCTATGCCTTTATTCTGTGATTTTCTACCATTGTCGGCTACCATCTTTTACTTTATGTCTTTGTCTGATACAAGATGACCCTAAATAATACTTCCAAAACGTGACATGGCTTTTGTCCTTTTGAAATTCTTTCATCTCAACTTGCATGAACACCGTAATTAACAAGGATTTATTAATGGGATGACTGGGACGTATTTTAATTTGCATTCATTTGTTAATGCAATTTTTAATCACTCTGTATTTACTTGACAATCTTACTGTGAATTGGACTAATTGGCAATATTGACCGGTCATAGATGTATCACAATGTTATTTTAGGACGATTCACTTTAGAACATCATGTGCATCATCTATCCATTACTGCTAAGAACCCAACTATTAATAACTATAACGGATACCTGAACTTTTTCTTAATATGTAATATTTTGTTGACAATTAGGGAGAAGAAATGAAAGATAAGAGAAGTTTTTTAACTACATTTGATGTAACACAATTCTCACGTATGACAAATTTGACATTTTTTCTTGCCTCTTTCTCTCTTAAGGACTATAGACTTGGACTTGACATCACATGTTAAATTAAAATAACTTTGCATAATTTAATTCACATACTCAATGATTATACAACATTGTTTTTGTTAATTAAAATTCTGAATCAGACATCAATTTAATTGGTTTTATCTTTTACTATCACGAAGAGATATATCAACCAATATATTATACAAAACCAACTTAATGCTTCAACCATGAATTTAAACTTGAATCTTAGTTTGCCTTTTGGTTTGCTGAGTTGCTGCTAGCAAGTGATAAAAACGGTTACTAAAACTATGTTTGGCACGCATAAGATTGTCAGATGATGGGTTAAGATAATTGATAAGCTTCTTTCGCTGTCATCGGTGATTTCAGTGCATAAATTGCAACAGTAAATTATTTTGTTAAGTGTTATGGCATGATTAGGATTACTTAAAATAAATAAATAAAAGATCAGTGGAAATTAAATTTTTGTTTTGCAACAATGTGGAAATTAAATTATTAATTGTATCATTTCTTCTTTTTTTTTGGAAGAACTACATTGCACTCAATGTTGATTTTTTTCTTTTTGGTCAAACTGAACGCATCAGCTGGTTTTACGATTAAATGGATCCATATTACATTTGTCTTAATAATGTTGGTCCGTTCCTTTGCTCAGTGATAAAGATTAAAGAACAGAAGAACTTATCAACCAATGATTAAGCCAAAAGATAAACCATATATAGTACTGCCTTTTACCATTAACCACAACTGCTCCCACGAGTCTCTTTAAGCATCTCTCTTTGGCCATAATTAGAGAGGAGTGAATATACATTTTGTGAACCCAAAAACTTAGTACAACAAATTTGGCAGGAGTAGCGATGGAGTCATATCTGAAAAATATGGTTACTGTTAATTAGTTGCCCAGGTAATTATAAAACTTCAATTCACACGTATGAACATATAATACATGTAATTATGTACTAATTGCCCCTATAATCAAGAGATACTAACGTTAAGGTTTGTAGAAAAACACTCAACTAGTCTCTGATTTCTAATATCTCATTTCTCACGTTTAACATATTTATTCTCATTTGTTCACCACATTTTAGTAACAAACAGAAGAAGACAATGTAAATTTAGGTAAATACCAACTTGAAATGTAACTAGGGGAATCGAACTCTCCGTCCTGGTGGAGGTCGTGGTCGCGGCCGTAGTTGTGACGATTGACATATACGCCCCATCTGTAGTAATGTAAGTATGTAAATATTTATGTACAGATAAGTTTTTAAATCTAAATTTTTTTATTGATATTAAAACAGTTTTGTATTTGATATATTTTTACTGTGAAATTGTTAAAATATTATATAAAAGGGGTTTAAATAAGTTCTTTTTCTGTCTTTTTAAATGTTATTGTTTCTGGAATTAATCCCTATAAAAAATATCAATTATTAGATTTCTAATATTTTAAAAAGGTTAAAAATTAGTCCCAATCATTAAATATATATATATATATATATATATATATATATATATATATATATGTTAGGTTAGAGACTCGTTTTAAAAAAATTTAAATGGAAGAGGTTAAATAACAACAAATTTTTTTATAGAAATTAATTATAAAATCAAATTTATACAATCTAAAATCTTATTTAATCCTTTATATAATTTTGGCCTGTTTTGTGTTCTCCGTTGTTTATACACTTGTATTCTTTTCACTAGCAGAAATATATATGTATATATAAGAATAATAAAGAGCATTTTTTTAATCCTAATTTAATAAATATAGACATAATTTTAGATATATTAATTATTAATTTTGTATACATATTATTTTAAAATTTGTACATGAATAAATCAATAATTTAATCATTTAATATTATAAATATTTTTAAAATAAAGTATAACTAGAAAGCAAAATGATGTTAAATCCTGAGTCAGATATGTTGTGATGTGAGTCAAGCAATGTATACAGGAGTTTGATACGGTGGTAAGAGCTTCTTCCATCTTTCAATCTCTTCCTCGCTATGAAGCTTTCTAATTCCTCCATAGTATCCGGTAAGCCCTTCACATTGTTCCCCATTTCTGAGTAGCTTTATTCGTCCCATGCTTGATCCTCGAGAGTATTGCTTGAACTCCACGATCAATGTGTCTGTTATGTAAGCAAATCAAATACGCACAAGGTACTCATCTAACAAATTTAGCCACAAATGTATATTTTCATTGTCATGAAC